TCTTCTTCTTCTTCTTCTTCTTCTTCTTCTTCTTCTTCTTCTTCTTCTTCTTCTTCTTCTTCTTCTTCTTCTTCTTCTTCTTCTTCTTCTTCTTCTTCTATCATCATCATCATCATCATCATCATCATCATCATCATCATCTCTGGAGTACAAGTCAGCTTCATGTGAGTTCTTCAGGTGCCCCCTGGAAGATGGCAACCCCCACTTTGATCCAGCCCAGTTTCCATCCTTTTAATGGCCATTTGTACTTTTTTCCCCTTGTCTCTGTGAGCCGAATTAGGTGTCAGTTTTTGGCTCTAATGAATGCATGGGCGAATACTTGTGTGGGGGGAAGTGACCGTGTGACCCGTTCTGTCCTCCGGGCCCCGCCTCTCTGCCCCTGACTGACGGCCGTCCTTCCTTCCTAGGGGTCGCTGAACAATTTGCCATTGCCGAGGCCAAGCTGCGGGCCTGGTCCTCCGTGGACGGGGACGATTCGAATGATGAATCCTACGACGAGGACTTCGCCACCCCGACTGAGGCCACCCAACCGGCCGGTGAGTGAGCAGACCGTGTGTCTGGTGTATCTCGTGATGTCCATCAGGGGGAGGGGGGGCAGGTAGATCTCCTCCCCCCGCAGGGTTCCTTGTTGCATATTCAATGGATGATCTTAGAATCTCCCTACATTTGGGGAGGGCAAGAGCTTCCCCCCCCAAAGAAGTTGCCTCTTGAGTGCTGGGCCACATGCCCCAAGACGCTCTCAGGCAGAATGGCCTGAAAGGTTATGGCAACCCCGGTCAGGGGCTTTCAAGGCAAGGGAGAAGCAGAGTCAGTTGGCCATTGCCCTCCTCTGCAGAGTCTTCCTTGGTGGTCTCCCTTCCAAAACCTGACCCTGCTTAGCTTCCCCCAGCAAGGGGCTTTTAAGGCAAGGGAAAAGCAGAGGCAATTGGCCATTGCCTTCCTCTGCAGAGTCTTCCTTGATGGTCTCCCTTCCAAGTCCCAACCCTGCTTAGCTTCCCCAAGCAAGGGGCTTTCAAGACAAGTGAGAAGCAGAGGTGGTTGGCCATTGCCTTCCTCTGCAGAGTCTTCCTTGGTGGTCTCCCTTCCAAGTACTGACCCTGCTTAGCTTCCCTAGCAAGGGGCTTCCAAGGCAAGTGAGAAGCATCGCCTTCCTCTGCAGAGCCTCCCTTGGTGGTCTCCCAAGTACCAACCCTGCTTAGCTTCTCTCTGTAAGGGGCTTTCTAGGCCAGTGAGAAGCAGAGGTGGTTGGCCATGGCTTTCCCCTTCAGAGCCTTCCTTGGTGGTCTCCCTTTCAAGTACCAACTTTGTTTAGCTTCTAAAATCAGAGTAGATTGGGGTATACTCTGCCTCCTTCCCTCCCCCTAAAAGATTAACGTGCGCTTATTCTAGCCTAAACATTTGCAGACTAGAGCCCACTTTATCAGAAGTTCTTCTGAGCATGTACAGAGCGTTTCTTCCCCTCACCACTGAGGAATCTCAGCCAACCTAGTTTGAATTAAGGAGCGGGATCTGCTCCCGAAATTGATGGCAACATTGCGAAGCAGGCCCAGCCTCTGGTACTTATTACTGATTTATTTAATACCCCACCTTCCTCTTCAGTGGAGACCCAAAGCAGCTTACAGCATTCTCCTCTCCCCCGTTTCATCTGCACAACAACCCTGTGGGGTAGGTTAGGCTGAGAGAGTATGACTGGCCCAGGGTCACCCAGAGAGCTCCCATGGCGTGGGTGGGGAGTCGAACCCAGTTCCCCAGATACTAGTCCAATGCTCTTAACCATTAAACCACGCTGGCTCCCTTTTCCTCACCTCCCTTTTGTGGTATTCTGAGCCCAGAGTTCAAAAGTAGTTTGAAACTTTTACAGTGCACTGATTGGCGTGCACCAGTTCCACCTTATGCCGGTCCTCATTTTGTAGCAGATCTTGCCTGCTCACTTTCGTCCCTGGACTTGCCCTTCCGTCAAGGTTGCCGCCCTCAAACTGGGCTTAACAATACCCGCAGGGCTCTTTTTGTAGCCAATCCTCCAAGAGCTTACAGTAGCCCTTGTAAGAAGAGCTCTGTAGGCTCTTGGAGGATTGGCAACATTAGGGGTGTGTCGCCTAATATGCAAAGGAGTTCTGCTACAATACATCAAAGAATCACTGTGAAAATGGCTACAAACTATGCAAACACATTTATAAGGATAATCTATCAAATTGTCGTGGCCTGTAACCCACAATATCACAATAAGAAGCATGTGCATCCAGTGCAAAGCAAACAGAAGATAAGACAGTCTCTAATTATTGGCAACACAAATAACCCCCCCCCCCAGGGTTACATTCATCGAGACGGCTTCAAGGCCTGTTCTCTGCACACAGATATATGTCGGTGTGCGAAGAACAGGCTTTGAAGACGTCTCAGTGAATATAACCCTGAGGATTTTTATTCGCGTTGCCAACAACGAGAGGCTGTGTTATCTTTTGCTTAGCAGTGGACGTGCGTGCTCCTTATTGTGATATTGTGGATTAGAGGCAACAACAATTGGATAGATTATCCTTATAAATATTTTTGCATAGTTGTCGCCGTTTTCACAGCGATTCTTTGATGTATACCCTCGAGCCGGGGCCTGGAGTCCCCCCAGAATTACAACGGATCTCGTTCATTCCCTGAAAACCTTGTTGGTTTCTAAGGCGCTACTGGGCTGGAATCTAACTTGTCTCCAGACTACAGAGATCAATCCCCCCTGGAGAAAAACGGCAGCTTTGATGGGTGGACTCAGTGGGGAATCACATCTCTGCCGAGCCCCCTCCGATCCCCAAACTCCATCCTCCCCAGGCTCTGTCCCCAAATCTCCAGGAATTTCCCAACCTGAAGTTGGCAATCCTACCCTCCATCCGTCTGTATACATAGATGGCCAGCCACAAAGGATTGTGCGTTCTAGGGAATTTGTGTGCGAATTCTCGTCTGAAATTCGGCTTTTGCAGACAGCACATTCCAAGGGAGAACGAACATTCTCGACCTGGCCGAATCTTGTCGATTTCGGGCACAGGCTGCCTCTGCTCTTTCTCTCTCCTCGGTTTACCAGAGGTCACACTGGCCCTTCAGAAGTCTTTGCCCGGAACGAGCCGAACAGCTGGCGAGCAGAGGCTGGCGAAGTGTGTAATCTTCCTCCTCCTGCACAAACGAAAGAAAGCTCCTTTTTTCTCCCCTCCCTACAATTAACTGCCGACGAATCTGGGCCCATTTGCATATCAAAGAAAGTCAGTGGTAATCTGCTGGTGCAGCATGGAAGGAAAGTTCTAATTATTCTTCTGTATTATTAGAACGAGTGGGCAATAGAGAGGAGGAGGAGGGAGGGATGGGAACGCTACCTCTCTCGGGTTGGGAGAGGGGAGGCTACGTCACAGGGCCCACGGCTATGGCAGAAAGCCACTTACCCAACACTGGGAGGATTGCAGGATGCCGTGCTTACTCCTTAAAATTATTATGATTATGAACATAATGCAATTGAAAGATGTCCTGAATAGAAACGGAGAGCTCGAGATTCACGGTCCTGGCTTAAGATCAAAATTGAAACAAAAGTTTGGCAAGCCAGAGGCGTACACAACAGATGAGGGTTAGAACCACAGGCAACTGAGTAAATCAGTTCCACACGGTTTTGGTGCGAACCAGTGCTCCCTCTAAGCTGTGGAGTCTTGTGAGCAAAAATCCTACTTTGTGAGCTCCTGGCATTAAAGTTGTGAGGGAGCGATTGGGCTGCTGCATCAATAAGTTGGCTCTGGAGCCCTCCTTCCTGAACTAAGACAAAAAAGTGTGAGCCAGAGGCTAAAAAACTGTGAACTAGCTCACACTGACTCAGCTTAGAAGAGAACACTGGTGCTAACTGTAAACTGTCCTCCAAACGATTGTTTGTGTCCTAGATGTTCCAGACAAACCATGGTTTGTGCTAACCATATTCAAACCATAGTTTGTGCCCTAGGTGTTCCAGCCAAACCACGGTTTGTGCAAAAAAAGATGGGTTGGGCTCCTTGCCTGCCAGAAATCCCATATGCAGTCTCCAGAAAGGCAGAGGATTGTCTCAAACCATAGCTTGATGATTTGGATGGAATAAGCAACCACAGCTTGGCTGAACGTGGTTTATGCGAACCATTGTCATTACTTCTGTGCCATAGTGTAGTGGTTAGAGTGTCAGTCTAGAATCTGGAAGCCTCAGATTCAAATGTCCACTCTGCGGTTAAAGCTTGCTGGGTGACCTTGGGCTAGTCAAACATTCTCTCCCTAACCTACCTTACAGGGTTGTTGTGAGGATTGAAAATTGTGAAGAGGAGATTGTCGTAAGTCACTTGGGTCCCTACTGGGGAGAAAAGGGTGGCACAAACAAAGGAAGTGAACAAAAGCTGCATTATCCCTTGACCTCCCCCCTGTTAGTTGACCATGGCGATTGTTGTCACAGATTCCAAGACATTGTGATAGCAAATGGAAGACTGACAGCCCGTTGATCTTTGGGGTCGCTTTGCCGAGGCCCATTTTCTAATCCCACCATCCCTCAAGGATCTCAGTTTACCCTTTTTCCTGTTGTATTTCCACAACAACACTGTGAGGTAGCTTAGGCCAAGCAAACCTGTGTAGCCCGTGCTTCACAGCAATATGGGGGTCTCCTATCCCCGCCATCGTTTGCACAGATGAAAAATAGGAAGATGAGCCAGTATGGTGTGGTGGTTAGGAGCGCGGACTCTAATCTGGGAGAACCGGGTTTGATTCCCTTCTCCTCCGCATGCGGCTGGTGGTGTGACCTTGGGTCAGTCGCAAGTTCTCTCAGAGCTGTTCTCTCACAAGCAGTTCTCGAAAGAGCTCTCTCAGCCCCACCTACCTCACAGGGTGCCTGTTGTGGGGAGGGGAAGGAAAAGGAAGATTGAGACTCCTTCGGGTAGTGAAGGGCGGGGTATAAGTCCAATCTCCTCCTCCTCTTCTCCTCCTCCTCCTCTCTCTCACAAGCAAGGACCGTAGCTTGATTCACCCTCTCCTTCTCCATTTTGTGCTACGAAAAGCTCTGCCTTGTCTGCCGAATGCTACATTCCTTTAGTGTGCTCTAGCCTGTCCTGCACTAATTTAATAACAAGAAGTGTCTTTAGTGCAAAGTTTTAGTCTGGCGGCACGTTTAAGACCGACAAAGTTTAATTCTGGGTATAAGCTTTTGTGCGCATGCACACGTCTCCAGACACATTAAAACAGATTTCCTGAAGCATGACGTCTAGGGAGAGAGAGGGTGGGCGTTAGTTGCCAGGAAGGACTCGTTGGAGTCAAGACGTTTAAGTAACTGAGTATATAAGTATAGTTAAGATTGGGTTTAAGCAGAAGAGCAGCAAATTAGCATACAAGAGTTAACAAACGGATGCGAGAACTAAGTTTGAGTCCTCCGGCACCTTTAAGACAGATAAAGTTGACCTTGCCAGGGTCTGGGACACTGGCGATTTGGCAACGCATGGGCTCAACTTTTATTTTATTTTATTTAATAGATAAAAGATATCTTCCTCTCTCCCCCTCCCTCCCTCCCTCCCTCCCTCTGTTTATAGATAGATAAACTGTCGATAGACAGATAAATTGTCCATAGACAAATTGCAAACTGCAGGCTTGCGTGGCCTCAATTTGCCTCGGGGGGGGGGTATTGCGACCCACTGTAGCAGTTCTGATGCTCTCCTCCTCCTCCTGTGCGACTAACACTCGCTCCTTTGTTGCCTTGCAGATGCTGTGAACCAGCTCCCGCCCAGCACCTTGCTGAGAGGTTTCCTGCACAGCCGCCTGTGCCAGCTGAATGCCCGGCAAGGCTCCTGCGACCCGGAGAGCGACTCCTCCCAGACCACCATCTCCCCGGAGACTTTGTGTTCCAGTCTCTGCAGCCTGGAGGACAGCCTCTTCCTCAAGGAGCTGGGCTCGCCTTCCGAACTGGCCGCCAAGCTGCTGGGCTCCGTGTCCGCCGGGGAGGAGATGCTCCTCTCCAAGTTGCCCCCACAGACAGCCGGAGAATGTGCCTTCCGGAGCCTGGCGCAGCTCGAGTGCCAGGACTCTATGTACTCCATGTCCTTCACCGAGTCCTGCCTCTCGCCGACGGAGGACGAGGGGATCCCGTGCAAGGACTACCCGGGGGGCTGCAAAATCCACGGGGACAGCTGCCAGGTGCGGAGGAAAGTGTCCGACGTGGCCTCCTCCGGCGTCGTGTCGCTCGATGACAACGAGGAGGAGCAAGAGGAGGACACCGGGGAACAGTGAGCCCCTGCTCTGTCCGTGGCATGCTGCACCTGCCATCTCGTCCCACTCCGTGGCACCTTTCCTCGACCCTGCTCCGTGGCCCGTCCGTTCTCTCGAAGGGGAGATTCTCTCCTGACCCCTGCGAGGAGGTGTCATGGACCCGCGTCGGGCAAGGGAAGGCCGGTTCGAAGCCAACCAGTCGCCCGCTCGCCCGACCCTGTCCCGCGCCCTCTTCACCTCCACTGTGCCATCTTGATTCCAACCATTTAATCCAGAGGGGCCTTTCACGTGGCTTCGTGGATTTTGCCTGCTGCATTCTCTCTCTCTCTCTCTCTCTTGTGGCCTGTTTTGTTTTCTTGCATGAGAACGTCTTGAGAGTGGAAAGAAAAGCCCCCAGCGAAACACTGAAACCCCCCCGGGGCAGCGCAGACTGGACTCGCTACTATCTGGGCTGGTTCAGAGCATGCCGCGCTCCCCGTGCCCCCCCAGGGAGGAGAGGCGCCTTGAGGCTGTCCAGGTGGCATGGCTAAAAGCTTGTGAAGCGGAACTGTAACATTTCCGGAGACAATTTTCAAAATTATCTATCGCCCTGTATCGTCCCCCCCTTCCCCCCCTTCCAAACTCCTCCGGCACACAGCCAAGGGCTGAAGCGGAATGTGGAATGCAATGGATGCTTAACATGTTTATGCCTTTTTTCTAAAAAAAAGAAAGAAAAAAAAAACATACAAACTCTCGTCTGGGCCCCAGCTGGCCTCTTCTTGGCTTTTACTGTGTTGAATTTTATACTGTGGCTTGCCCGAGAGAAACGGGTGAGGCAGGAGTTAGGGGTGCATTCGCGTGCTTTGACCCGGAGCACGGATCGCTGCGGGGGTCCCCTCCTCCACCCCCCGCCCTCTCCCCCGGGAGAAGGCCGGGAGCATGATAGGGGTCGGCGAGGGGGGTGCACAGTCCCTCCGCCCCAGATATTTTCTATATTTTTGTATGTGCGTCTCCGTGTTGCTGTCGTTAGGGGCGTCGGTGCCCGTGCTGTGGATGGGTTTTCTAAGGGGCTCTTCCCTTTGCTCCCGCCCTGGGCTCTCAGGGTGGGCAATACTGTGACCCTCATCCCAATAACAGGACCTGTGAGACGCTTGGCTTAGAAAGGGCTCTCAGTTGTTGTGCTCAGAAGCGGCTCCTAGATACTGGGGCATTTTTGCGCCGGGCCGGGCCCGGGGAGCAGTGTGCTGGCGCTGGGAGAACGGTGCACAGCCTGGTCATTTGCGCAAAGAACCATGGGGATTTTAGAGCATTCTGGGTCAGAGGCCTTTAGCCTTTGCTTCCCCGCCTGCCCCGAGAAACAGTTAAGTTCCCTGGAGAGAGGGGAAGACCCCTGAAACTAGCTGAAGTCTGTGCTGTTGACAGGGCCAGAGAAAACGACACACAGACGCATGCCTATGCACCCCACTGGCTTTCATTCCTTGACAGAGGTCATTTCGGGGAGGATTGCGGGGGATCGCAGTTCCCCCGGGTGAGGTACGGGGGGCGGGGCACATGACGAAGCCCCGCCCTGCTTCTGGCCCTCATTCAGCCAGGAGCAGGCAGGAGAAGAGGGAGGGTAAGTTTCTTCCCCCCTGCCTCTTCCCACCCCTGCCTGCCTGGGGCCAGAGAGGGCCTTCGCGGGGCTTCCTTGCACTCCCGCCGGCCTTGCAGGTCCACCGCTGGGCCCCTCATGGGGCTCGGCAGTGGAGCTGCAAGGCCGGCGGCAGTGGCCGGGACCGTTGGGGGTGGTGTGTGTGGCCTTATGACACACTTCCAGTGATGTCAGGGGGTGTGGCATATGCTAATGAGTTATGCTAATGAGTTCCCCTAGCTCTTTTTCTACGAAATGACCCCTGTTCCTTGACATTAACATAGGGCTGCCAGGTCCTGTCGTCACGCCAGTGGGGGGATAAGGGGGCATTCTGGGACATGCCCGATGCAGTGATGTCACCCGGAAGTGACGTCATCACGTCAGGGACATCACGCAGTGACACTCTGGTTTTTGAGCAGAACGTCCATGGTAAAACCAGCTTCAAACCATAGAGTTTTGCCCTCAAACCAGAGCACTGCTGTGCCATGTCCTGTGCATGATGACGTCACTTCCAGGTGACATCATCGCATCAGGGACATCATGCAGTGACATTGCTGTTTGGGGGCGGGACCTGGGGGCTGGCAACCCCACATAAACATGTCCTTGTGGGTGTGTGTGCGCGTGCGGGCAGGCGTGCGCAGACACACACTAGGGGTGCCAACTTCCAGGTGGTGGCTGGAGATCTCCCTGAATTACTAATCTCCAGGTGAACAAAGTTTGAGTCCAGTGGCACCTTTAAGACCAACAAATCCAGGGGACAGAGACCAGTTCTCCTGGAGAAAATGGCTGCTTTGGAGGGCGGGATCTATGGAACTGTATCCCGCTAAGCTCTCTCTCCTCCCCAGGCGCCACCCCCGGAATCTCCAGAGTTGGCAACCCCAGTGCGTGCGCGCGAATGCACGCGCACATGCGCATACACATGGTTTATCGAACTCCAGGTGAGGCCCGGAGTTCTCCCAGAATTATAACCAATCTCCAGATGACGGAGATCAGTTCCCTTGGAGAACGTGGCAGCTCCAGAGGGCGGGATCGATGGTATACCATAGAGTCTAGGAGAACTGGAAGCCCATCCCCAAATCTCCCGGAATTTCCCACCACTGATTTTTTTCCACCCTGCAGCTCCCTGATGTGACATCGTTTCCTTTTGGCACGACTGTTCAAGGCACAAAGCTTGTATTGCCCTTGGTCCCTTTGAAAGGCCAATGAGTCCAGAAAGAGACAAACCGCCCCCCCTCAAAATGCGTAGTAAGAGAAACACACTCTGTGCCATAGACGGGCACTGCAGCCTTCCACCCCAGACACATGCGCGCCGCATGTTTGCACCGAGAGCTACGAACGTGTCAGCTGTGCATGCGCACTGAAGCACGAAGTCTGAGTCCAGTGGCACCTTTAAGACCAACGAAGTCTTATTAAGAACACTAGAAGAGCGCTGCTGGATCAGACCAGTGGTCCCTCTAGTCCAGCATCCTGTCTCACACAGGGGCCAACCAGTTCCTCTGGAGGTCCAACAACAGGGCACAGAGGCAGAGGCCTTCATAAGAACATCAGAAGAGCCCTGCTGGATCAGACCAGTGGTCCCTCTAGTCCAGCATCCTGTCTCACACAGGGGCCAACCAGTTCCTCTGGAGGTCCAACAACAGGGCACAGAGGCAGAGGCCTTCATAAGAACATCAGAAGAGCCCTGCTGGATCAGACCAGTGGTCCCTCTAGTCCAGCATCCTGTCTCACACAGGGGCCAACCAGTTCCTCTGGAGGTCCAACAACAGGGCACAGAGGTCAAGGCCTTCATAAGAACACAAGAAGAGCCCTGCTGGATCAGACCAGTGGTCCCTCTAGTCCAGCATCCTGTCTCACACAGGGGCCAACCAGTTCCTCTGGAGGTCCAACAACAGGGCACAGAGGTCAAGGCCTTCATAAGAACACAAGAAGAGCCCTGCTGGATCAGACCAGTGGTCCCTCTAGTCCAGCATCCTGTCTCACACAGGGGCCAACCAGTTCCTCTGGAGGT